CTGAGGGGAGGGGGGGCTCTGAGCGTAGGGAACTGGCGGGCGACTTGGGCAGGAGGAGCTCTTCCTCAGGGCCGGCAGCCAGTGAAGGGAGGGGCCGGCGGCGGTGACAGGACCGTCCAGCTCCTCTCGCTGGGGCCCTCGCCACAGAGAGTGCTCCTTCGCTCCCTGAGCAACTCCTCCGTGTAAGGGGTGGGGGGGGGGAGTAAAACACCTGCTGGCAGCCTGGGCCAGTGGCCAGTCGTCCTCACTTCCTTGTGTCCCCACAAATGGGCTGTTTACTTAAGGAAGTTTCGACAACAACTGGAGATGGTGTGGTGCGGAACCAGGAACTCAGTCACAGAGACTTGTCAGTGGATTTCATAATTCACACTTCCTGCCCCTTCCTTGCACAGAGCTACATCGTAGGCATAGAAAATGCAACCAAGAAATCCTTTGCTTAAGGGTCTCTGGAAAACAGGAGACCCCTGGCTATAATGCCAGCACTGAGATGCACCCTTCAACTGGGGCACTCAGCATTTGAGTTACCACCTCAAGCTTAACAGTAGGGGACTGAAGGAGCTTCAAGTGTATGCAAGAAACTGGTAATTAGGAAGTGGTGGGAACATTGTTTCTTTTTTTCTCCATGTTTAAAAATGTCACAGGAAACAGTTAGCAGGCTTGGAAATACAGAGATAAGGTTATGCAAGGGTTTGAATTCAAAGCTGGCTCAGGAGAATATTTGCAGTTGTAGAAGGAAGTCTAGCTGGAGCAGTGGCCCTTCCATTCCCTGTGTATATAGACTGGCCTGTGCAGAGATTTGCCCCGGGGGGGGAGGGGGGGCTCTTCAGGAGTTGCGAGAATAAGACGAGAGGCACCAGCTGGGTGGGCCTCTGGTGTCCTAAAGCAAGAGCTAATGCCTCGGTCAAGCCTGAGCTGAGCAGCTCCTAGTTTAAATGTTGCTTTAGCAGTACGCTTGTTAGGTAACCTTGAGCAGGTCACTATTCTCGGGAGATGGTCCGCCTCACCACCTGTAACGTGGCACTAATATTGACCCACTGCAGCTGCTAGCTGTAGAGTGTCCTCTACCCCGTTCCCGTGCATCTTTACTCAGGTGCAAGTCCTGCTGTAGTCAGTGGGTCTGCTCCTAGAAGTAGGTGTACATAAGTTTGCACTTTCAGTGTTTGAAGTAACGGGCTGTAGTCTATGAAAGTTTATGCTGGAATAAAATGTTGTTGATCTTTAAGGTGCACAACACTTTAAACCATGAATGCCACCTTTCTAAACCCACTGACTTCAATGGAGTAAGAAGGTAGTAACTTTGCTTAGGATTGCACTGTAACTGTCATGCCCGCAGTGCAGCCCGACCCCGTGGACCCTGACCCTGGGGATTCTGGGCCCTCAACGTCCGAGGGGGAGCTCCCTGCACCCCTTGAATCGCCAGACCTGTCCTGCGGAGGAGGATGAGCACCAGCTGCCAGGAGAGTTTACACCTGGAGCTGCCACAAGCACCACGCCTCCTGATTCCCCCCCACCGGTGGCTCGTTTGCGAGAACAGAGGCAGCGGGACATGGCAACCTGACGTAAGGAGGTGCGCATGCAAGGTCGGCGTCCTCTAAGCCCAGAGTACTGACCGGAGCCAGGACCCTGTTAGCGGCCGGCAATTGGCTAATAAGCGGAACGGGCTCTTTAGGCGGCTCTCTCAGATCCCCAACTTGTCCTGGCAACTAGTCTCATAGACGCCTCGCTGCACCTCGGATCCTGCATTCCTGTCTCCTGGTTTTCATCCTGACTTCCCGGCTCCTGACTTTGGCTTGCATGACGTCGTTTCTCTGGCTCCTTGACTACGGACTGTATATCCTGACTTTTGACGAACGGCTTTTGGCTTCTGAACTCTGCATGCAATCCCCGGTAACCCTAGACTGCGTTTTTGACTTGGTATTTTGGACTCTGCCCACGTTACTCGGACTGTGTTTTGAACTTTCCATGCCCTGCCTGGCCCGCCAGCGCAATCATGACAGTAACACAGCTACCCTCTGGAATTAATAGAGTTGGTCACCTTTACATCCAGCTTTTTTGCTTGAGAAATTGCTTCAGCCACTTTTATACAGGTCAAGAATTATGAAAATAACAATTACAAGGCTGCCTTGGCAGTGGCTGCTACCTGGGCCTCCATTGTTAAGGCGGCATCCAGGAGCACTCCCAGACTCCTGACCCTCGACGCTGGCTCCAGAGGTGTCCCATCGAAGGTCAGTAATGGGATCCCTCCCCCTGACCCACTCCGACTCAGGCACAGGACCTCCGTCTTCAATTTCAGTCAGCTCAGTCTAAGCCAGCCTGCCACAACCTGAAATGCCCGGTCCAGGTCATCTGGGGTAGAGTCGGCCTGACCACCCAACAACAGATATAGCTGGGTGTCATCTGCATATTGCTGACACCCTAGCCTATGCCTCTGGGTAATCTGGGCAAAGGGGTGCATGTAGATGTCAAATAACATTGGGGATAGCACCGCCCCTTGGGGGACCCCACACACTAGTGGGTACCTCTGGGACATCTGCTCCCCAAGTGCCACCCTCTGTCCCCAACCTTGTAGGAAGGAGACAAGCCATTGCAAGGCTAGCCCCTGAATCCCAGCATCGGCGAGGCGGCGGATCAGTAACTGATGGTCGACTATGTTGAACGGCGCCGACAGGTCCAACAACAACAACAGTACCGCCGTGCCGCCTCAATCCAGATGCCTCCAGAGGTCATTTGTGAGGGCGACCAGTGCTGTCTCCGTCCCATGACCTGAACGGAAGCCGGACTGGATAGGGTCTAGCATGGAAGTGTCATCCATAAAGCTGTGCAACTGAATCACCACCGGTCTCTCGAGTAATTCGCCCAGATAAGGCAAATTTGAGACCAGCCGATAATTAGCCAATTCGGCCGGGTCTAAGGATGGTTTTTTCAGGGGAAGGCAGACCAATGCTTCCTTGAGTGCCCCTGGTATAATCTCCCCGAGGGCACCTCAGAACCCCTCATGACCAGCTTTTATAAGGCATGGATCAAGGCTGCACGTGGTTGGGCGTAGAATTGAGAGCAATCTGTCGACTTCCTCAAGGCTGAGTGGACTGAAATAATCCAGAATGGGACCAGAAGACGTGCATGGAGCCTTGAGTTCGCTCACTGTCTCAACTGTGCCGGGGAGGTTGTGGCGGAGCGACAAGACTTTATCTGCGAAAAGGCTCGCAAAAGATTCACAGCCAATATCCAATTCCCTAACATTTGGTCTGCTCTGCGGCAGATCTGTTAACGACCGAATAATTCTAAACAATTGTGCCAGGCGTGAGCTAGCAGATGCAACCAAAGCCGCGTAGAACTCTCTCTTTGCGGCTTTGATTGCCAACTCATAGGATCTCATAAATGTCCTATGAGATGCTCTTGTTGCTTCATTGCAAGCACGTCGTCACCGTCTCTCTAGTCATCTGAGCCCTTGTTTCATCTGCCGCAGCTCCTAGGTGAACCAAGGAGCCTGCTTAGAGTGAGGGCGCAGAGGGCGTCGGGGGGCGATCTCGTCAATAGCTGCCGAGAATCAATCATGCCAATCCTCAACTAGCTCATCCAACGAGCCGCATGGGGGGGCCTAGGTTCCCGCAGAGCCATCTGGAGCCGCTGAAGATCCATTTGGCTCCACGGGCGAGCTGAAATATGCTCGCCGCCCAAATGGGTATCCAGAGCTATGACACGGGTATCCAGCAAACTCCTCTTCATCAGCACTTAAAGGTTTCACCTGGTACCAGATAGTGACAATATTTGTGAGAAAATGAGCTGGAGACAGTGCTCGTCCCATTCCGTTTTTTTTCCCCCTTCTTCTTGTAATTTAATTCTGTCAGTATGTAGTTCTGTTTTTAAGTGCTCACTCAGTTCCTTCTAAATTTCAACAGCATCAGCAATAAAACAACTATTTTTCTATTTTGTTTAAAGCTTCAGAAATGGGTTTCAGGATGCTCAGCTTATGTTCAACATTTCTCTTAAGCCCAATGCTGAGGATTTTGGCCATGACAGTGCCCTCTATTTTCT